GAAGTTCTCGCACCACCGCCACCACCGCTTCACCGGGCACATGAACAAGGACATGGCCTTCGTCCCCGCTACCAAGGCTCCCGTTTCGCGCCTGCCCTCGTTCCTCGCCAATCTTAACCTTCACGAGCTCTTCGAGGACACCCCCCTCGCCCAGCTTGTGCCCCTCATCTTCCACCAGCTCTTCGGTTGGCAGGCATACCTGTTCTTTAACGTTACCGCTGGCAAGGGCAGCAAGCAAAGCGAGCCGTCCGGTCTCGGCAAGTACTTCCGCGTCAGCCACTTTGAGCCCACCAGCGCAGTCTTCCGCTCCACCGAGGCCCTCTACGTCGCCATCACCGACGTCGGCCTGGCCCTGATGTTTACCGCGCTCTACTACGCCACTCAGGCCCTGGATCTCTCGACTGTTCTCTTCCTTTACGCTGTTCCCTACTTCTGGGTCCACCACTGGCTGGGTTAGTTTCGCCGACCTCGGCTGTTGTGAGACTCGTGCTAACATGCGTTTAGTTGCCATCACCTATCTCCACCACAACCACCCTGATGTCCCCCACTTCAACGAGGAGGGCTGGACCTTCGTCAAGGGTGCCCTTGCCACCGTCGACCGCGAGTTTGGTTTCATTGGCAAGCACCTCTTCCACGGCATCATTGAGAAGCACGTTGTGCACCACCTTTTCCCGTAAGTTGCACGATTGACTTCCCTAGGTCATTCTGTTGCTAACTGTCGCAGCCGCATTCCCTTCTACAAGGCTGATGAGGCTACTGAGGCCATGAAACCTCTGCTCGGTGACCTGTACATCCGCGACGATCGCAGCTTCCTTGGCCAGCTGTGGTCCGTCTTCGGCACTCTGCAGTACGTCGAGAACGACCCTGACATCAAGGGCAACATGCGCTGGGTCAAGAACTAGACTTTGCGAGACGGCCTTCACAGGCGATACACATAGAACATAGACGCGTCTTAGAGAGATGAAATAGAGATCCGGCCACGGACCGGATGATTGATTCCAACTTGATACACCTACTAGCCTTGCGAGCCCCACTCACATGAGGGGTCATCTAGACGCCCCCGATGAAGAAGTTCAGCACGTCAAAGTTGCCTGACGCGACGAGACCTGCAGCATCCTCAGCACCATCAGGGTTCACGTCGTCATATGGGAATGCATAGCCCCGTCCATCCACCTCCTGCTCATGTACGACGCGGCTGTAGTGGGAAGTTGGATCCTGCATATAATAGTCGCGCGCGTCGACTCCCGGCTGCAGGTCGCCTCCAGCAAGCAGCAGTGTCGTCCGGACGAAGGCAGCGCAGAGCCGTGGGACCACGGCATAGTGCACGGCATTATCACCCTGTCGAATGCCAAATGGCCCGCTATTGCAGCCCCAAATGTCGACAGCTTCGGGCTTCGCGTAGCCACGGTTGTCGCCGTCGCACGATAGAGTGTCGCCCGTGACGCGACACTCCACCACGCCGTTCTCGTTTTGCGTGTTGATGTATAGAGGCTGGTTTGCGTACCGCCGCCACACCTCATCGGCATAGACTGTCCAGTAGTCGGCGAAGGCTCCAGGGTTGATCGTGGCGTAGTTATTCGGCGAGACAACGCGCAATGGTCTACCCGTGGGTCCCTCGATGCAGTGCGCTGCCCAAGGTCGCCCGTCGACATCCCCTTGGGCGCGCAGTTCATTGCAAATGCTGTCCACAGCACCCGCTGGCAGGCCGAGGACCTCCTGGACGCGGCCGTCGCGGTCCACTAGTCGCATTCCAAATACGAGGCCGACAAAGTCGACGAAACTAATGTTGGCCCAGATGACGCCTTTCGGAGTCAGCGTCAGCTCGACGAACCCCCAGTTGAGCCCAGCGCTGGGATCTTGCAGGTTGTTGATCGAAGGCTGCACCAGTCCATCGCCAGAACCAGTGAACACCATGAAGAAATTTAGCTTGCCAGCCGCGAAATACACGCGACCCGAGCTCAGAGCGATCGGCAGTGTTATGCGCAATGTCTGTCCCCTCGGAGGCAATGGAATGGCGATGTCGGCGCCAATCGGGACCGGGACACTGGAGCCGCCAGAGGTTGGATAGACCAAGCTGCCGTCCGCAGCCAAGAATACCACCGCGCCATTTGAGTCAAGTCCCGAGATGTAGGCGTTCAATGACCCTCCAGCAAAGTTGTTGACGAGACTAAGCGGTAAATTGCCGAGTAGAGGCGCTCTGGCAGGTCCAATCTCACTGTTGACCGTGCCGTTAAGCGTGTTGGCCTCTGTCATGATCACATTGTCAACACCGCCTGGGCAGGCCTTGGTGAAATCGTTCGGAGTAATTGTAGCGGCTGAAGCCGTCAGAGCAAAGAGGAAGGTGAGAAATTGCATGATGAGGGTATTCAGGGTATGCTGCTGTTCGAGTCGTATAATTTGAGGGCGTCTTCTTGTTCCCACTTTATAGCATCAGTTCGCCGTGTAGTCTTCCGCAATCCAGACAAGCTGCCACATCCTGTCCATCGTGACAAGGCCGCCATGTTGTGAGCATTCGAGGTCCGTGGCTCATGGTCTCGAGTGCCAAGCCCAACAGACGGGCATGCAACTTTGTCGTTAAGTTGGTAGACCTCGCTATCAACTCGACGCACCACATTCTGTTTTCTGTCTCGGCGATTTTGCCACGGGGTCGTCCGTCGTGCCCTAGTCAAAGCAGTCAGTCGGCCTTCGCTCGTGATCCCCGGCCAGTATCGGCCGGCGGGCCGAAATGCCCTTCCCCACACACTTCGTGGTATCTCCACGGAGGACTTGGGGAGATCGCCGGCCAATTGTGGATGTGCCCGCACCCCAAATCTCGCCTGTGACCCAGCCGGCACATGCGTTCTTGAGATGCTGTGTTCTGGTGAGCACAGCGTGTCACCCGACATAAAGCACAACAAATCGAAGAGGTCTCTGGTCCACACCTTAATCCGACGTCTCATCACTGTAGCCTCTCACAGCTACTGCGATACCACGAACCACTTGAACAATGGCCGCATCAGTGTGCTTACTTGACAAGTAACGCCTACCTATAAGATGATGAGCTGAACGCCTGTCTTTACATTCGAGAGCGTATCAGATCTATACGAGAGGTGTTAGCTTACTTGTTCGCGCCCGTAATACTTTGATTTGTCTTGCGCAACCCGAAATTTGCTGTCCAAGGAATAGAATCGCGTGCGTCGTCGGGGGCGAACATGGTTATGACGATACACAGAACACTTCGCTCCGACCAAACCGCCAACGCTCGTATGTGCGCAAGATATTTCGAGCGCGCGGAGCAATCCTACGTTGACCATCCAGTGCATGCATGTTCAAACAATGGCGGGCTTCATGGCACGTTCGCGCCTTGGCATCTCTACACAACGCCAAATCACCCTGCCTGTCAGCGCTGTGAAACTGGCGCGGCTCCTTCGGACGACGAAAAAAGCCTGCCATCTGTTGAGAAGAGACGACTAGGTTGGCGCAAATTCTCTACAGGAGGCATCGTCCGATTGTCTTGGCTGTTTGAGGTCTATATATACCACATCGCTGGCTGTCGTCTGAAACCCCGTGCGGGGGTGGGGCCACGATCTGCTCTCACGATGCTCAGCTGTATCTTCACTAACGGGGGCAAGGGTTACATTGCGGCCTAGGAGTTTGACCCGAGTGTCAATTGACGCCAGACGGCTTGGCGGTGTCATGTATAAAGATCGGCTAGCACTCGGCTTCCGTATCATGGGGTTTTTTTTCTTTTTTTTTTTTTTTCACATCATCGGCTTCACCTTCCCTTCAGCGAGCTTGTTCCGACTTCTATCACGTTCTTTCGGCTGGACCGCCCCTGTTCTCTATTCTAGTTATCAGTTCTTCAATTCTCGCAGTCCTATATTTCTTGTACTCATCCTTCAACATGAAGCTTTCTTGGATTACCCTCGTTGCTGCTCAGCTCTTAGCTGTCGTCGCATTGCCTACCTCGCATGATCGCGGCAGCGCTCTTGTCTCTCGAGGCGGACGAACCGCTGATGCAGGCGAGGCTGGAGCCGGAGCTGAAACAGGTGCTAGTGAGCCCGCGGCCGGTGGCGAAGCCGGAGGGGAGAATAAAGCAAACGAGGTCGAGCAGCAAGCTCAGTTCGACACACCCATCGCAGTTGGAGGTGACGATATCAAGACTGACACACTGTACCCTCCTGGTGTAAGTTGAATGCTCGGTTGCTGTCGCGCCTCCATCCTGACTTCTCATAGGTCAACGGTGTCTTCGAGGTTGAGTTGCAAGGCCCTGTGGGGCGCACCTTGACAGTCACCGAGAATAAGAGCCCAGCTGCGCCTCCTATTGGGTTTATTGCAGTCGAGCCTGTTTCTTGGATCATCTCCCTCGCTGAAGGCACGGACGGTCTTACGCTTCAGAAAGTAGACTACATTCTGAACGCCAACAGTCAGTTCAATCTTCATTTGCCAACGGCTCAGCGCAACTAACAGACACCAGACACTCTGGACATTAGCAAGGGCCAGGCTGCTCGCTTGTGCACCGAAACAAACGCCTTTGTCATTGGACCTGCCGTCGGCGAGCTGGAATTTGAGCGGGAAGAGAACGAACTGACTGTCACTGTGGACAACATTAACGGAGAATTCGCCTTCTTCATTCCGGATCCCGCTGCAGTTGCAGCTCCGCCAGCGGTACCTTCTCCGCCGGCTGGGACGGCCACACCTGCAGCACCTGCCGCTGGAGAAGCACTGAGCGGCCAGGCGCTGGTGGACGCAATTCTTGCGCATCTTTCCGGCCCAGCATAGTACATATACATAAGTCTTTGGACTTGATTCGATCTAGTCAGCTCTAACTACTTGCTGCCAAGGAACAGAAATCTATCATGGCAAACCTCCATCGACTGTGCAAGACATGCATATAGCTTTGATGAAACTCATGGCATTGCTGTATTGTGCTTTGCTCATGGAGATTCGTAACAGAGAGCTTTCATATTGGTTGTTCGGCTGAAATGTATTCTGAAAAGGGCCCAAGGTTGACTTGCAAATCACTTGATCCTCTCACCAAGCTCCAGAGCCTCTTCACTCCCCCCAAAGTCGGGCCCTGATGTATTGTTGAAATCATACAGTCCAGAGCTTAACACCTTGGAAAGCGGTCTGAGCGGCTTGTAGCTTCCTTGGCTTTGACACTTCTCCAAATCATTTTGAGGGTGCTCACTCTCGGCAGCCTCGGGCCGTAGAGCGTCCCTGTGCGAGAAGCGTTGGCTTGATTGATTTTGCCCATCGGTTTGTCTCGTAGTCTTGGATGACCACCCAGTCCGCGATGCTATAGTGCTGAACAGGCCAGGTACGATCTTTGACAAAAGTAAACGGATTGCTGGCAGACTGACGACGATCATCGAAACGGATATCTCCGTCCCTGACCAAATGAGGGCGTCGACATAATCCCAAGTCGGATTTGATGATCTTGCGAAAACGATAATGTATCGTAGTCTGATACAAGATGTGACGAGGATGAAGATGCCTAGACTGAACATAAAGATGACTCCAGCCTTTGTCCGCCGCGATACCTTAAGGCGCAGCAACTGGGGCAGCGGTAACACGAGTACGATGAGGTCCTGTAGAATGCTCAGACCAGCACATGCAAATGCTAGCGCATTTAGATTCATGCAGTGATGTTGACCAAACTGGCCCTTCCACCCCTCCCAGTTGAACCGTATTGGTGTGCACTGGAAAATCTGCAGAAAGGTTGTGATGGTAGTAGAAAGACCAACCAGACCAATGACAAGGTACGTGGCCCTGCGGAACCCTTGACTGGGAAAGATGCGAAGAAAGAACGTCAAGATGGCGATTTTTGGCAATGCGAGGCACAGCATGTACAATGTCTGAGCGATATAGAAGAGCTTCAGGGCGTAGGTCAGGTCATCAGGCTCGACTGTCCAGATGTCTCTGCCGAACGCGAGGCGACCAACTAAAATGAGGTCAGTTTCTTTCCGAAACAAGCTTGAACTCGCCAGGAAACAACGTACCGTACGTTCCAATAACGCAAAATGGGACGTATAATATCTGCGGTCATTCGTGAGCAAGACTCTTTCGTTATTGATTTTGGATGCTGTGGGGTAGCGTACGAGACAGGCAGTCATGATCCAATCATCAGGCTCGAAAGAGTGCGACATTCTCCATCGCGAGACCATTCGCAGAGCTATTACGAGGACAGTAATAACCTGAACTGGTATAGATGACAGTAGCGACGATCGCCGGTCACGATGGGGACGTTGACATGCATCTGCTTCCAACTTTGATGCTTCTGTTGGCGGGAGATGAGATCAGAACTTGGTACCACGCATGAAAGAATCGCGCTAGCGACAAGGGAGCGTACTCAGAGCGTCTAACATGGACTCGCAGCTGCTCTTGACGCATGCTTGTGTCGCTTTCCGCAAGGGCTCGTCGGTGCAAAGACATGTCGAATTCATGACAATGTTGCAGGTTGATCGAGGGACCTCCTGGAGAATACATGTGATCTTCAGATAAATATTGAAGACCTATCAGTAATGGGACGCCCCCAAAGGCCATAACCTGCAAAAGAGGTAACTTACTGCGCAATCCGGTAACTCATCCATGTATTTGAATAGGTCTTGCTGCGCTGAGCTTACAGCAGCCACAACTGCCAGCAGCATGAATAATGCCGATTTTGGGCGTGGCATGATCCTTCGCCTGATCTGTGGAGCCTTAGTGTGACGAGGTCAAGTAGGTCAAGTTGACGGCATGCTGGCTGTCAGCGGAAGCTCGATGTAGCATTCCAAAATGAGGAAAAAAAAAGGAGGCACTCCCATTGCTTATTTTAAAGGACAGTCCAGTGAGGCCCAAGCATGCAAGTCCACCATCATGTCCCGCGGGGCGTGCCGCTGTTCGTGAATCATGAGCAGGCTACATCCGCGCTTCACACGCTTTCATCCCATGCTTGCAAGCCTATGAATTACTGGGTCAGACCAATTGATCATGCACATTAAGAGGTCTGTGTGGTGTCGGAGCTCATCATGCTCCGCTAGAGCACGCTAGATCTGCGGGCGCACGGTTATCTGAGCTGTAGCGAAGTATCATGGCTTGACTAGTCAAGCGAACAGTCAAGCTAGAAAGGATCTGCCCAAGCTGCCCAGCAAGCCAGCAACAAAAGCCATGAGACCAGAACTGCTTATCCCCGAATTAAAGGATGTCGATCTTGTGGAGTTGCTGAGTCGCCACGGACGTAGTAACGGGATCTGTGCGGCAGCCTAAGGAACACCAACCCACGCGCGATTCAGCTAGTCGAGCGAGATAGTGACAGGATGCCCAGCGTGACTCGCAGTTGCCATGCACCTGATTCGAGCAGGTGTCATCTGAACCCTCGATGACTGGCAGGCGGCTTCATGTCATTACGATAAGCCAGGCTTAGTCTAAACTACCTGATGAGATGGATAATTCATAGGGAGTCTTGTCAGGTGGGCCGCGGAACTGACATATTGAGGATTGAATAACTTGGAAGACGCATCTGTTTTAGATACCTTTATTCTTTCATTTCCTCGTCGAATGAGCTGAACCTTTTGCTTTTCCCCTGTCAGAGTGAGGGCAAGAGCAGAGTGAAGAGATCTTCCCGCAAATGATGAACGCAGCACATTGTTTAGCAAAGGGCGAGAATACATCTGAATCATGGCCCTCTGCAGGTAGCAGGGCCGCGAATACGTTGTGCCATGGTCTCGAGACCTCTATGCTGGCCTCCGCAGGTGCCTCCTCGAACAGCTTATGTGACGCGGGATCAGATATCGCGTTAAGTGATATAAGACGTGTGATATGAGGAGCGTTTCTGTCACTACGTTAAGATGTAGGACTGTGGCTACTGTTTGCTCGCCACCGTCCGAGTGCATAGGGAACAAGATGAATGTCCGATTAACTCAACCGTTCATGCATCCAACGTGTTTCGCCGGCTCCTATCCAGTCGTTTGTCGGCTCGCCCAATGATCGCTTCAAGTGTTTGCATCAAAGCCTTGGGGTCGTACCGGCCTCCATATTGATCCGTCTTCATGCCGTAAACGCGCAGTACCTCGATTCCGAGCTCGTTGAGCCGAGTCTTGTCAACGACAGGAGACAACGAGCTCTCGACATAAATCAAGTGGGTGACATAGGTAGAGTATTCCAACTCCTCAGGCCGACAGCTTCCTCGAGAGCCTGCACATGCGGCAGCAATCGCTCCGATGATGTCCAATGCCGTGTAGGGCTCAGTTGACGGGCCTGTCTCACGATCGATGCAGCCGTTGAGTATGAGCACTTTTGTACGTATGGACGGATCGGCAATGTGGTCCCCAACTCCACTGAGGATGAGACTAGGGATAATCGAAGTAAAAAGAGATCCGATACTGTAAATGACTGCTTTGCAACCGGCAATTGAGTCTAGTACCCGCGGGTTCGCTGGCAGCCGTATTTCTTGGCCGTACGGGTTGATATACCAGATCTTCTCAATTCGCGCCGGCAGTTCTTCTTCGCCCTGCTTGGAAAAATTGATCGCAGGCCTTCTCAGCGCCGGGTGGGAGCCGGGGAGATTGGCGTCCTCAACGGCATCCGCATACTCCGTCCACATGGCCAATGTGGCTGGTAGCGGCACGGCATTGGATGGCGCACTCGGGTGCGAGATGTCGTTCTGACCAATAACGACAGTGCCATCAGCGAGGCCAGCAGCGATATGGTTTGCGAAGTTTGTGTTGAGCGCCGGCAACACCGAAATGTGATCAGAAACCGCACACACAGAACTTAGAAGATAGATGGCAGCCTCGAAACTACCGGTGAAAAGCCTGGCCCCCGTCAGGAACAGGTTGCCAATGCTTGCACCAGAAAAGTCGAATTTGCTGGTCGGCCGCGTCCGCTTGATGACTTCAAGGTTGAAGTGATTTAGCAAAGACCTGATAAGCTCCTTCTTCGGCGTAGAAACGCCATGCCATAGAACATGAGAGCCCTCCAGGATGGAACTCCAGCCCTCGTGGGCTTCCCGATAGTCCTTTGCCAGGCGATAATTGAAGAGGCCCTTGATGGCTGTCTTCTCTGGACTGTCATCTGGTATGAGACGAACCAATCGCGATCTGACATCGCCGATACCTAAGATGCGATTAGCTACCTCGCATGATGACTACTTGAAAACCCACCTGGCCCGCCAAATACTCGGATGATTTCACTTGAGCTGCCGCCGTTGTCCGAGATGGGGATTACGTAGCTGAGCGTGAAGTCATTGAGATGACGCACGTGTTCAAACACATCAATCAGACTGTTTGCCGCGCTGCCGCCCGAAAAAACGACAAGACCCGGTCTCTCAGTACTAATAGCACGCCTTGACGCGGCGCCGATGCGAAGAGGATCAGTGCGCGAGTGCTCCTCGAGATGGTCCATGCCGGTTATCGAATATGCAGTGCCTTACCTACACCTGGTGATGTAATACTGGTCGAGGGGTTTTTGAGCGGGGAGGCGCGTGTATGTGGCTAATAAGAACTGTGGATACACTGTGGCCCAGACGCGTTCCGCAGCGCGCGGCGGGGTAAGTTTGAACTACAATTATTGTCGGATCAAAGCATGTCTTTAAAATTCTATGATGTGTACTGTCCCGTGACCCTGAATGGCAAGGTCCAGGCATCCCAATTGTCCGCTGCCTCCGGTCGGCCAAAGGGCACCAAGGCTGCGAACCTCAACACATACTCACCATTGGCAATCTTAGTGCCGTTTGCAAGCTTGCCGAACCACCAGTACTCACGCTTGTCGTATCCCGGCATGCCTGCAGCTCGACCAGTGTTGACTTGAGGATAGTCATTTGTTTCGTCTGGGTTCCAACGCAGGGTGTCGAACCACTTGGGCACCTGCCCGGAGCCTACCCACCAAGTTCCTGAACCCACATATCCATTTTGACCGGGGACGAGAGGCCAGTACCACGATCGCTTCTCCCAACCCTTCGCGAAGATGTCGTATCGTAATTGGCGTGTGGCCCAACCGATACCGGCATCGATGATGGGGAAATCCTGGGCGGTAAGGTTGAAAGAGAAGGTCGGAATGGAACCATTAAGGCCCTGCACGACGGGCGGATCGAGCGACCGCATTTGTGGCTCAGTCAGGAACATCTTCTTGAAAGTGCGCTTCAGATCAGCGCCCACGCCGAGGAACGGCACGGCTAGACGATCGCCGTTGGACCCCGTGATAATGATGTTGCCACTGTAAAGGGGCAGGGCTTGCTTGTACCAGTCCGACATGTCAGGGTTCTGGAAGGTGACGGTGACCTCTTTACTCATGCCAGGCTTGAGACTGAATGTTCTGGGAAGAGTGGCATTGACGGAATATGTATTCCACTGTAGATAGCTGAACTCCTTGACGATTGTTTCGTAGTCGCCGTTGCCCAGAGTATTCACACCAATCGAGTCTTCTTTGGTGAATGTATACTCCACAGGCATGTCGCTGTTGTTGGTAACCGTGACCTTGTGATAGCGAGAGAAGAACCGTGTGTCGTTCAGGGCCATGGGCTCGTACACCAAGTCCGTTTTCGATGCGAAAAGACTCGTGGCGTTGATCAATCCGCTCCCAACCTGCGCGACAGTGGCCGTCGGATCGCTCCAGCTCCACTGGTTAACCTTGCGGACGCTAGAGACGAGGCGGTTGTGCATGAATTTGGCAAATTCAGCTCCGTGCTGCGTACCACGACCGCCAAAGTAGCCGATATAGAGCGCTGCAACTCCTGCAAGGTAGGGCGTCGCCATGGAAGTGCCGCTGTACACAGCCCAGCCGTGGTTGAACACTGTGCTGTAAATGTTTGTTCCCGGGGCGCCGACGTCAGGTTTTAGCTGGAGGTCGAAGAGGGGTCCCCAAGAAGTGGTAGACTCGGGCGTGACAATGTTTGCATCGCGGTTCCGGAATGTATCAATGTTGGAAACAGCAAGGACGCCCTTGGCACCAGAAGGAGACAAGGCACGGAAAGGTCCTCCGTCGCCACCATTGCCAACAGACACTGTGATGACAACGCCCTTGGCGGCAAGGCGCGTCGCAACCTCCTCCCAAGCACCGTCAGACCATCCGCCGCCAAGACCAATACTCGCTGTGATAATATCGACGCCGGCCTCGTACGCCGCGAGAAAAGCGTCAATGTTGATGGCCTCGTCCGTGCCATCCCGCGCGTACGTCTTGTATGCGTAAATGGTGGCTTCGGGTGCGACGCCGCTCCAATTTTCGCCCTTGCCAGCAACAATGCCGGCAACGTGAGTGCCATGGTCTTGCAGGCCCATTGGGTCCTCGTCAGGCTCCTTAGGGCCTCTGGGCCAAATGCCATCCCCTGCAAAGTCATATCCACCAGCAACCTTGAACCTTGGCCCGAACCCGCCGCCCAGGTCAGGGTGAGTGTAATCGACACCCGTGTCCACGACAGCAATCTTGACGCCTTTGCCTTTGATGCCTTGTTGATGGAGAGCCCAGACGCCGGTTGAATTGTGCACGTCGTAAAAGTCCGGGTCAAGTTCAGCACCAGGTGGCAGGTTGGTTGAGTTGTTTGCCAATTGTCGGATGAGGGCCCTCATTGGCTCGTAAACGCGATTAGGCCAAATACGGGCTACGTCGGGCAGTGCCTGGAGCTCCTCGACAGTATGCTTGTCGGCTTCGATGTTCGCGCCATAGAAAATGTCGCTGTGGAAATCGCGTACAACCTTGACGTTGGCATGGTGAGAGAAAATACTGTCGCGCTTTGTAATGCCATCCTTGTACTCAACGATGTAGCCACGGGATGGTTGGAGAAAGCTGGGCTCGGAACCGCGGGCCGGCCGAACGGTTGCCAGTAGGATGAACACAAGGTGTGAAAGCATCGTCGGCGATACATGCGTTGCCGTAAGGCATACTCCTCAATCGAGTGCCGGCTGCAACCCATCTTAAATAACCCCGTGATGGCTCTTTGCGACGCTCTATGGGGCCTCGTGACGTAACTAAGCTAGCGATACGAGGTTTATGAACAGGGGTAACTACATTTCCTGTACTAGAGGCCTGCCTACTGAGCAACCCTTGTCTGGAAACCAGATTTGGCAAGACGCAATTCGCGTTGCCTAAAGTGCAGGGTTCAGACCTTGTGGAAGCCTGTTCAGTAAGCATATGATCGGTTTACCAGCTTTAGCTACTACATCAAAAGTGTCACCTGTCTCACAGAAAGTTGCTGATTAACGGCTATCCTTGGTTTCATCGATGTATTCTTTCCGCTGGTTGCTTTTCTGACTTTTGTTGCTTGTTTCGAAATCTTTCACAATTCATAAAAACCACCTAGGACTTGACAAACATCAGTTTTCACTCGACTTCGCGCATGCTTGATCTACTATGGATGCTATCATTTTCAGATGGGAGGTTCTCTCTCTTCAACGGATAGATCTCAAGAGAGGTGATGCACCCGAAGTCGCGACCCGGGCCCAGTGTCAGTCTGGCTGTCGCTCGCAGTGGCCTAGTCCAGTATTCACGCCTAAAGGCCGCTACAGCTGTCAGGGGACCCTGCGGGTTCCCTGCGGAGTCGCCAAGCGGGGGGCCGGCCAGGAGCTAAGAGCTACGAGAAACGTATATATATAGGCTGCAGAGGGCCCTCCAGACTGCGGAGGGCCAGAATTCAGATGTATTCTGACCCCCTACCTATCTGCGGACCACGTGTGGTAGACCTCTTCACACTGCTCTAACAACGCTCTGACAACAGCCCACCATCTGCTGGTAAATCTCGCAACCACAATGTTCAAGTCATCTCAGGAGGCAATACCGGCAGCATCACCACTTTGAGCGGCCTCGAAACTACGCCAAGCGTATGCATTGACTGTCTCTTGTTTGAACCTAGTAACTTATAGCATGTTGAGTTGATGTGGTGAGGCATGCTACGGACTCGTTCAAATCACTACGGTGGCTTTCATGCTACTATCACTTGGTCAAGGTGGTAAATGGGTACCGTCCCATCAAAGGTTGGGCTATAGCTTCAGTTCAGAATGGAATGGAAATGTTGGCCACGTTGAGGGTATACAAGTTTCGAAGATTACTGCGTTTGTTTTCAGTTCAGTCAAGTATAATCCAGTAAGACAGATCACAAAAGAAGTAAAAACTTCCAGCCTCAATCCAAATGTGATCCTACAATCGCTGCGGAGGACCCAGCTCCATCAATATACGGCCGATCAGTGCGGCATGATATTGATTCCGATATACATGAATACTTCCACTGCAAAGGGCTTACTAAGGTGTGAACCATTTTATTGGTGCATGTCATATGAAACTCAACGTCGTTTAATTCAGCAAGTCTAGTATTAACTCAGCTCAAATTGACATCAAACCCAAAGCTGCTTAATATAACGTATTAAGTTCGAGACTAGTTACCAGCAGGGATCCTGGACGTCTACACCGCACTCCCAAAAGACTCGAACGGTTTTGAGTTTCAAGGTTATGTAAAACTACAAGACCTTGTGGAAATCCCATGTAATATGCGCTTCCTAAATTCTGCAGGGAAAGTTCGGGCACATCTCGTATTGCGCGCAACAAATTCATTTGTAGTTCCATCATCCACAACCAAAGTCTCACTATTGTGAAGTAGATTCAAGTACGTCAAAGAAATGTGCATTCTTTTCAAATATATACAAACTTGATGGAATTCCTCGAAAAGTCGGACGATGGCCTAGTCTTATCTACCCAGGCACCCCTAAGCCCCTTGGCTGCTGACATCATGTGGATATATGGTAGCAGGGCAGCCGTGTCGCAGGTTTTTTCAGTTGCTACCCTGTGCACTACGAAGTGCCCGCATATCGAATGTTCGGTCGAGGAGGCTTAGTCATGTCTTGCCCGATAAAGTAGTCAAGATGGTGGCCTTGAACATATCCCTTGAGGGTCATCGAATTTCTACACGCTGGGTTGTGTGCGAGAGTATAGAGCCGAATATCAGTTGGACGATCAGTCGTGAAGATGATGATTTCGTCATTTTCTGGGCTCACTAAGATGACCTCCTCTCGCCAGTCGCCGAAGATATCGCCGTGGAAAGCAGGATTGCGGCCAGTCGCGCTGCCGGCGCCCAAGTTCCTCGTAGTCACCAGCCGAGGGACACTGCTACTTGTCGAAGGAGATTCCCAGTCCCATTTCTCAATCTTCCCATCGTTGTAAAGCTCCATCAAGTTATCGCCATCCCAGTAGAGACCCAGATGAGGCCATGGTGCGAGTGTAGTGTTTTGTCCAAGAAGCCGGTTGCTCGGGCCATTGTATAGACCGGAAAACAACCAGACCTCCATTCCCGCACTTGTTGGGTCGATGTCACCTACTAAGCCGCGACCAACGTCAGCGATTCCATCAGGCAATGAGTGCCTCCAAATTATCTTTCCCTGAGTGGCGTCGTAATAATATTCAAGAAGTCCGTTTGGGTTATTCTGCTGCGCACCATACCCTTGGAGGCCGGTGCGTTTGGGGTCTATCTAAGCAATGTGGAAACGGTCGCCATGGACAACACCTTGTGGGCCCAACGAGTAGCGGAGCTGGCCATCGCCGTGGAGGGTGAACCCGCTTTCGTGAACCTCATCCCGACCATCGCCATCAACGTCGATGATCCGGGTGCTATGGCCGTCTGGAGCATCTCGGCTCTCTCGACGCCACTTCCATTGCATCTTAAGAGCAGTGCCACTGAAACTCCACGCAGACATCAGGAGGTTGAAGTCCCCGTCGTCTTTGCGGTTCTTCATATAGGCAACGAGAGAGGGCTGGCGGCCATCGAGGTAGCCGACTCCAAATCTTGCAGCCAAGGGGCCATCGGAGATATAATCGGTAGGGATCTGAGCTCGCGCGCGAAGTTAGCCAGTGCGACCTTCTAGAACTGCGATGAAATGCTCGTCATCATTTGCGTGTGTGAAACGCTGCCCGTCGCCAAAGGTGACTCCATTCACGATCCGGACAGCCACCTCGGCGAGGCCATCGTTGTTAAAATCATAAACCGTGACACCGTCCCAATGGCCCAGGTT